TCACAATGTATGTAACAATATTTACATAGATATTTGAAGCCTTTTTTATATATAAAAAAATATATGTTATTTTTGTTATTATTATTATTATTATTTGATTACACACTTGACTACTCTGTGTATTATAAACTAACACATATAATAAATATATAGATAAAAAATAATAATAATTTAATTAAATCTCCAAATTGATTGATTAATTCACACAAATAAAATCTATTATTTTTAAATATATATAAAATATTCAAATATATTGTAACTACAATACTAATGACTAATAAATAGCAATATATATAAATTTTTATCTATTGATAGATAGATAGCATTATGTGCTATTGTTTAGGATATAAATATTATTAATATTATTAGTAGTGAAAGTTTGGCCAAAAATAATAAAAATAAAATTTAGACCACAATTGGATGGATAGATGACATCATCATTAATATGATGCATCTGTTTATGATTTTTGTTGTTGTTTGGGGTTTGTTATGTAGTTGTTGTGTATCATATTTACCATATAAGTAGACTCATAGACACACATACACACACACACACACATACACATACACATACACACATACACACACATACACACATACACACACATACACACACATACATACACATACACACACATACACACACATACAAACATACACAAACATACACACACATCCACACACATACACACACATACACACACATACACACACATACACACACATACACACACACACACACATACACACACATACACACACATACACACACATACACACACACACACACATACACACACACACACACACACACACACACACACACACACACACATACATACACATACACATACATACATACATATATATACCACTTATTATATATTAATCTATATTTATATAACTCTTATTTGCCATCAACTCGTGTATGTATGTGTCTATATATAATATCCAAGACAATAGATCACTTATGTCTGATCCAAATAGGGTGACCACATGTCCACACACACACACACACACAGACACTCGCAATAATTGAAAAATATTTTTAATGAAACAAATATAATATATATACATATATGTATGATTACTGTATAATATCTTGAAATTGTCAATTAAACAAATTAACATTATATWTATATATATATATATATTTGATTTTAATTATAAATATATATTTTTAGTTTTGTAGATACTATAAAAAAATAAAATAAAATAATTATTTGCAAACAATTTGCAACAAAATCATTAGTAGTAGTAGTAGCATCATCATCATCATTATCATCATGCACAATTTTTATTTTGATGTTATTATTAATGTTTTATTATTACTATTATTACTATTATTATTATCATTATATTTATTATATTTTATAATACAGTATACTATATATATATATATATATATATATATATATGATATATATATTGTTCACTCTATCCATGAGTGATACATCAATCAACAGCATATGTCTTATAAGACATATTTCATTGTTTTATTATTTCTAGTCTCTCTCTCTCTTTCTCTCTCTCTCTCTCCATATAAATATAGATATTGTGTGGTTATAATAATATATATCATCAAATCATAAATCTTTATATTGAACCACTCATTTGATTGCCATCGCGTGGTCTTATCAATTGATAAGATAATATCTATCTTTATTTTTTTTAAATTATTTATTTTAACTTTAACTCATATATACAATATAAAAGCCATTATATAAGCTGTATATAAAAAACATTTTATTTGCACCAATTTTATCATATATAAATATATACTATAGTATATATATATATATATATATATATATATATATATATATAGTTAGATAGATATCGATTTAAAACTGTATGTGTGTTGTTGTTGTTGTTGTTGTTGTTTCATATACTGTATATTAAATATGATATATATATATGAAATTTATTTTATTTTTTACTTTAAAGCCATTTACTATTTTTTTTTTATTTTGTTACTTATTTCAAGGCAACTACTATAACAACAACAACAACAAAAATAATAAAAATATATCTATCTATCTATAAATAGCTATAAAGATAACTAATAGGTGATATCAATATCTCTAGTTTTTATATATATATAATATAATAATAATAATACACTAATCATATCGACTACTAAATCATATTGATATAACACTTAAGATTCAATGATTTTTATCAATTTATATATGATATATATATATTAGTTGATAAATATACAATAAAATTTATCAATTAATAAACATATAATATAATTTAATAGTAACCTAATAAATTAATTGATTAATTTTGATAATACATTATATAATTACTAAATACTAATTTTATTAATAAAAATTTTCTGATACTACACTAAGATATTATATTTGATATTAGATAACAAAATAAAAATAAAACTAAAAAATCAAATAAACAAAACAAAAAAAACTACAGTATTTTTGTGTGAATTTATTTGTTAAAAACATACATTGAAAACAATTTTAGACAAAATTGTCTATTGATTTGTGTGGGTTTTTTTTGTACACACAATATATATAATGAAAGCCTGAAAACTTTGTGTCTCTGAATATTCATGAAAATTGTTTGTCGGATCTCTCTCTCTCTCTCTCTCTCTCTCTCTCTCTCTCTCTCTCTCTCTCTCTCTCTCTCTCTCTCTCTCTCTCTCTCTCTCTCTATGCTCTCAACTCAACTCAACTCAAGAGTATTGTATAGAAAGGTCTCACACAATAAATATTTGATTATATCTGACATATAATCGCAATAGTATGGTATGGTATGTCAAACAGGGCTCTCTCTCTCTCTTTCTCTGCCATTTCTATCAGTCATCATCAGAGAGAGAGAGAGAGAGAGAGAGAGAGAGAGAGAGAGAGAGAGAGAGAGAGAGAGAGAGAGAGAAAGAGAGAGAGAGAGGATAGGATGCCTTACCAATTGATAAAAACCCGGAGAAGCGTTTTAGCTAAACATTTATATATATATATATATATAAAATTTATATAAATTTATATATACAGAGAGAGATAGATAGATAGAAACATTACTCCAAACCAGATAACATACATACCGTACATATATATATAGATTTTGCCTACTATTCCCTATGAATAGTATACAGTTTTACTAGTATTGAATTGAATTGAATGGGTAAACAATTAAACCGTTAACAAAATCAGTGGCAAATAATCGTAATAATAATATCTTTATTTAAAATCTTTATTTTTAGGCAAAAATTAGTATACAAATTGGTGGACACAACACACACACACACACAACAAATTGGTTACGGATTTTGCTGGTCGTGAGAAAAAATGCGGTAATTATGGATAATGTGTGTGTGTGTGTGTGTGTGTGTGGGGAACGACAGGCCCTAAAAGTGTCGGTGCTATATATATATACAGTAAGGCATAGACTTATGTATATATGTGTGTGTAATTTTAATTGATTTGTCACATCTAATTAATGCACTAATAAATCATTTTTAGGGAAATAATAACACAACAAAATTTTATTTTATTTTTTTTTTTTTTTTGACAACTTATTCAATAATAATATATTACAAACTATGTGTGTAATTGAGACATAAAATTTGTTTTAAAAATAAAACATTGTATATACAGTATATATATATCAATACTTATCTAACAAATACATTGTGTATTATAGTAGTCAATATACTGTATATATATATATCGACAGTGTAGACAATAAAAAAACTATAAAAAATAGATTAAACGCTGATTTATTGTTAAATTTAAATTTTATAGACATTTAGCTATACTGTATATATCAATATATAGATATATTGTGTATTTTTATTTATATATATATTTTTAATGTTTGATAACTTAATTTATTTTGAATCAATTTATTTTTTTTATTGTATTATCTTTATTGTGTTATATACGGTATATATGGTGTATATATAAACTGTTTTTTTTGTTGTTGTTATAGTGTTGAACGCCTTTGTATATTGCATTACATGTTATATATATATATTTAACTTAACTGTATATTACTTATTGTATTTTTTTATAAATTATATTATATTAAATACACAATAATGATTGCCATCTCAAACCGTTTTGTTGGGCCATAACTTAATTTTTGTTATATAAGTTAAGGGCTCTCTCTCTCTCTCTCTCTCTCTCTCTCTAATTAATATATTGGCCTCTAATTAATTGTTGCAAATTATATTAGTATATCATATTATATAAAACATATAAATATATTAATATTATTTAATAATAGAAAAAAACTACTGTATTTATAAACATATTTTTAGTGACAAAAAAAAATAATCTAATTCAAACAAACAAACATAAAAATTAACTGGGATATAATTATATTAAATAACAATAACAATAATTTAATATTATTTATACAGTAGTATTTTTATTTATTAATTATATTTTAAATTAATTAACTATAGAATATTATATATATATATATATATATATATTATATAATTTTATTGTAGACATGTATAATATTGTATATACTATTATATAGTTTATGATAAATATTTATAATAAATTTATTATTATTATTATTATTATTATTTAATTAAGTAAATTAATGCTTAGATTAATAGCAGTGTCAAATAGCATTTTATTTATTTATTTTTTTGAAAAATTAGATATATATATAGTATATACATGTTGGTTATCAACAACAAAAAATAAAATAATCTAAAAATTTATTTATTAATATATATTTTTAAAAAAATATAAAACTACGAAAATTATTTATTTTTGTTGTAAATTATAAAATACAAAAATGTTTGCAAATTATTGTCTTTTTTTAAACACCGAGAGATAAAAAAAATATATATATATATAATATTTTGAAGTCWAAGATGAAAAGCCTAACAAAATAAAAACACGTAAACAGTTTTCATAGGTCTMCGGGAATCGACTATTCCTTATACAGTGTATATGTTATGATATGATATTCTGTATGTGTGTGTGTATGTAATCTCTACTAAATATACCATTCCTTACATCCATAAGCTCTATATAGAGCCTTATATTTATAAGGACTTTCTCTCTCTCTCTCTCTCTCTCATTGCGAAACCGTATGATGCCATTTGTATTGCCATATATATTGGCATTATTTTAGCTAAGAGAGAGAGAGAGAGAGAGAGAGAGAGAGAGAGAGAGAGAGAGAGAGAGAGAGAGAGAGAGAGAGAGCATTACCCAAAAGGGAGGCGACTGTACGCTTGAATTATAGTCTCTCTTTCTGTATATGATATTAGCAATAGTCAGTATACACAGCTACAGCTAAACGCTTTTTGGTATAACCATCTCATATACTGCCATACACTGTATGTGCTGTGGATGGTGTGTATGGATCAATAGGGAGGAGCTCTACCAGAAAACCATAGACTCTCTCTCTCTCTCTCTCTCTCTCTCTCTCTCTCTCTCAAAAACGTAACCATCAAACAGACACACATACACATACAATATCATCATGTATTATAGATCTACCAGCACATACATACAACATACCGTACCGTTTACATACAACAGCATACACCAGCTTATAGTACTGTTAGTATAACAGTAACACTTGTGTGTGTGTGTCTCTCTATCTCTCTATATATTAATATATGTGTGTCTCTCTATATATCTAAGTGTATGTGCCGACAATAGATACTACAGTACAGTACAGTACAGTACATACATACATCAAGGCATCGGTAGCTTTTATGTATATACATATATATATAAATATATATATATATACAGTATATTAAACGGTTTAGATATCGCTAAGTGATAGATAGATAGATAGATAGTGAAAACGATAGACTAACTGAATGAATGAACTGTTTGTTATGAAATTTTTGTCTCCGATTATTAAGTTATATAATATAATATAATATAATATAACTACTAGTACTATATTATTATTATTATTATTTGATTCATTGAATTACTACTGAGTCATCAAACACTACCACCAATACTACCGCCACTTATCTAATACCGTCACCATCACCACCACTTTCCATCTAACTATCTATATATTAATAGATATATATATACCAAACCCTATCAACCAAACAAACCCATGGATTATTCATATCTCAACCATGGTTTCGATACGGCCTGTTCGCTGTCATCGATGGATCCATCAGTGGGCTTATCCTCCTGTCAGCTAGCCTGTTCCTATCCGGATCTGGGTGGCCAATGTTCGCCGCAATACCCGCGCTATCAGCCGGTATCAGTATCGTCGGTACCGTCGATGTCGACAATGCGATCGGCAGTAGCCGGCCATAGTCCGGTAGTTTCGTCGGCAACCCAGGCCATGATCAACGGTTCGCGTATGTCGATGGCCATCAACAATCATCATCAGGTAGCGGCTGTCAGCGCGCCGTCAGTGTTTTCATCGTCAATGGGACTGCAAAGTAAGTGGACGACCGTTTTTTGATTGTTTTTATTAACGCAATAGTATTAATGATAATAATACAGTTATAATACTAAAAAAAAAATTTTTTATAAATATATTAATGTAGAGAATATTCTGTAACTTTTTGTTGTTATTGTTGTTGAATGTAATGTAAACTGGGGTTTATTGGGGTTTAATTATATATACATAAAACTATATATTAATATTATATAATGATTATAATAATGTGTGTTAGTGTCCAGTGTAGTACACTATCATAGTTATTGATAAATTAAAAAAATAATTACTATTAAAAACATTATTATTATTATTATTAAAAATTAGTTTTTTTTAATATTTAATAATTTACATATATATATATGTACATACATTTGACAACAACACACACACACACACGTTATGTTTTAGTAATAATAAAAATTGTTTTGTTTGTTTAAAAAAATTAGTATTTATTTTAGTTAACAGAATATTCTCTACTATTAATATTCAATTTTCTAATCATATATCTGTCTCTAGTGAGTCCTAAACATTATATATACAATATATATATATATATACTGTATATACTATACAAAAAAAACATTTTTATATATCAAACAACAACAACATTAACAAAACACACACACATTTTCTACTTAATTAATTAAAACTAAATTTTTTTGTTTTCTCAAAATATTTATTTTTCATGATAAAAAAATTAATAATAATAATTAATTTATTTAAAAAAAAACAATTACTATTAAAATTATCAAAAAAAAACTAATACATATATCAATACATATACAGTATGTTATATATTATATATAAAACTATAGTACATGTATTTGGATAGTTGTATTAAAAAAATAACTTTTATACACAATTTATTACACAATATAACTGTATTTTTTTTGTTGGGCTTATGTATGTAATGTTAAGTGTCTATATATATATATATATATATACTGTATATCTATTGTTTGTTTTATTGTAAAGGTCTGCCTTATAAGATGTATACTCCCGGACACGACGGTATGCTAACCGAAAAACGTAAACAACGCCGTATTAGGACAACATTTACGTCGGCTCAGCTCAAGGAGCTGGAGAGGGCCTTCCAGGAGACACACTATCCAGATATATATACACGCGAAGAGATAGCCATGAAGACAGACCTAACAGAAGCTAGAGTTCAGGTAAGACATCCACACCAAAAAAAAAGACATTTAAAGTGGTTGTATAATCACTATTAGTATTTGATTATATAATGTAATATAAGGGAACGGTAGCTTATATATGTATATATATAGAAAAATATTATAAGGTATGATTATTATGATGATGATGTTATGTGTCATTGACTATATATATACTATGCCTTAGCACTAGTAGTGGTGGTAGTAGTGGTAGTAGTAGTGGTGATACATATTTTTATGAGCAGATGTTGCGCTGATGTATAAGTTATATACACATCTCTTATACTATAACTACCAGTGCTATGTAATGTATGAGTGAATGAGTGAGTGAGTGAGTGAGTGTGTGTGCTAGTCGTGCCCACAAACACACGACCAGAAACATTATGTATTGAATTTATCATAACTTTCCTCTCACTCTCTCTCTCTCTCTCTCTCTCTCTCTCTYTATATATGTTACTTACATTATATTACAATTGTTTATTATTATTATTATTATTATTATTGGGATGTGTTGTATGAAAAACACACACATAAACAATAAGTGGTAACAAAAACGATAGGAAAGAGAGAGAGAGAGAGAGAGAGAGWGAGAGAGAGGAAAACCCTTCAATTATTATGATCGCCGAGACTTCCGAGTCTTGTCGTCACGTGTTGTGTATTGGGACACACATGAGTTTCCCGGACACCACACACACACACACACACATACATAACAGTGCCCGACATAACATAAATGAGCCGATGCTTGACTCTCTCACACACACACATATACATACTCCCTGTGCTCTCTCTCTCTCTCTCTCTCTCTCTCTCCTCTAAACTCTCGGAAACGATAACTTAAGGCACGTGTCCTCATATGTAAATCCATTGTGTCTCTGTTTGGACATCTAAACAATATATTACAAGTTATTTTGTATGTATAGACAAAAATCACCTCGATCAAATCTCTATATACGGTATATATAATCGGTTTGACTGTATTTATATATATGGTATACAAAACTCTGGTACCCATCAAAAAACCATTATTATCCTCAATGTGTGTTTGTGCTGTACTGTACTGTATGTATGTGTGTGTGTGTTGTATGTAATACAATAATTGTTGCCTTTTTGTGTGTGTGTGTGTGTTTGTATTGTTATCATACAGTACTTAGTATTATAGGAGATAGGGATCGCACACTTAGATGACTCCCGATTTATTTTTTTATTATTATTTTTTGGTTCACATACCCGAAACAATACCCGACACCACACACACTTGTTTCGCATTTTTTACAATGAAAATGACAACTATTTTATTTATATATATATTTTTTTGTTAATCAACTGTCTATATAAGTAAGTGTGACTATTGTATGTGTGTAAATGTCATGTAAAACTAATTGTTATTTACATTTCAACTTAAATGCTTCAATTTTTTTTATTATAAATACTACTTACATATGATTTTATCTGTACATAAAAATCACTGTATATTTAAAATTGTAGTATTGATGTGTCAATGAGTGTGTGTGTGTGTGTGTGTGAAATGATTTTAATTTAGTATTAGTTTTCATGTGTTGTTGGTGTTGTTGTTAAGCAGTTTATATTATATTTGTGTTTGTATTTTCAAATATTATGGCATGAATTTTAAGGAGTCATACAAATACAGTACAAACACATACACACACACACACACACACACACACACACACACACACACACACACACACACACATAGTTTGACACTTTTATTTAACATATATATATATATATATATATATATATATAACTAGACTAATAAATTTAGATAAATATAATATATATAACTCTTTTGGTCCCAATATTTGCATTTTCCTCAGTCGACTGTTAAGTAATGAGAAACCAATGCAAATGAAGGACCGCACTGTCGTGTCATTTATAATGTAATACAAGTGCTCTCTCTCTCTCTCTCTCTTTGAACTAAAAATTTTATTTACATGTGTACTGTATGTGTTGTTATACTAGTATATATATGTGTGTTGGACTTGATTTTTAATTTGTTGTATTGATTTAATTAGTTTGTTTTTCAATGACAGTCCTATTTGTTAAGGCACTTTGAGCACATGTAGTAAAATAGTGTATAAGTATATACAGTATATATATATAGGGCATAGCCTATGCTTAATATAATATAATGCAAACAAATGCATCTCATAGACTAACACTTTTAGTAATCAAAAAATTATTTATTTTTTTTGTTGAAAATTAATTTGCATTTATTTATAACATATATATATATATATAAACTTTTTACTGTATTTAACATAAAATGTTTGTTTTATATTTGAGATATAAGTACTGTATTTATATATATATATATAACTTAACTAAAAATCAAATCAAAACATTTCACTTAAAAAGTTTTCTTTATATATATATATATAAATATATATATCTTTTGGATAAAAGCCTTCAATATTGTTGATGTGTTGGCCCTCAAGCTATCAAATACTGTTGTTTTAAGTCTTTTTTGTTTTAT